GTTAGATAAGATAAATAATTTTAGTACCTCTTATAAAATAAAATAAATTTTTAAGAAATTGTTTCAGCGCGGTTTAAATAAATCATAAAATCAAATGAATGAAGCAAATTTTTATTTGAATTCTAAACTTTGCAAATTGACAAATTCAATCAAAAAAAAATCAATTAAAAATTTATTAAACACATAAAAATGTTTATAAAATAAAAATGACTAGAACAGTTGAGGAAAAATAATTTTCTTAAAACTAATACTTTAAGTATTTTACATTTCTTTAGAATAAATTATGATAATTTATAATTTCATATAAATAATAATTATTAGGTTACATCTACTTGTAGCGGTGAGTGACATGCATATGTGCAAAGGATTTATTTATTATTTGAAAGTAAAATTTTCTTCAGGTAATTTTTTAAACTTAAATTAATGTTGAATTGTCTAGAGTTGATGATAAAACAAAATATGTATCAGAAAAAGGAAATGTGTAATTTGTTTCATCAAAATTATAAACCAATCCTAAAATAACATTTAATGCGGAATCATCATAAGCATGGCATCCTGAATAACGATATTGAGGTCTTTTGTTAAAACGACAACCCTGAGATTGAGCTCCTAAGTGACAAAAAAAAAATATAAATTTTTACAAACATTTTAATAATTTTAATTAAAAAGTTGTAAGAATCCTAAAAATGAAATTACCTATAGGATGAACACACTCTGGAGTTAAAATACATTGTATCCAAGGTAGCATGATTTGATTATGAATTTTTAATGTGTTCCACAAAATTAATCGATTTGTATCGACCATTGGTAGAAATAAAAAACTATCAACACTTGACCTAAAATCAAATTATTTATATTGAATACTTAATTGATAAATTTATTTATTTAAAATGATATAAGGATAAGCTTACTTAAAATAAGAAATCATATTCGGATGTGTTACAGTTGTCACAGCCTGTTTTGTAACAAATGTTCCAATGGGTTTGATATCGATCAAAGGTTCAATAAAATTACTAATTCTAAATTTATTATCTAAATATAAAATTCCTCCTGCTTTATTTAATGCATCTTGAATAATTAAAGCTTTGACAGTTTTGACTGGGTCATCCTGTTAAAAAAAAAAAAATTTAGATTCGAGTGAGAAACGAATGTTTTCACAAACGGAAAGTTAAAGAACAAAAGTCAATTTACCTGAACATGAGATGGAAATATGTTTAAATTAAAATTGACTATCTGACATTGTGATGTATTGCAATAGGGTGTAAATACTTGTAATTCAGATTGTGAAAGTCCGACTGTATATATGAGAGCAGCATGATTGCTGGCCATATGAGCAATATTTTTGGCAAAACCAACTCCCTAAATTAATTTAATTAATTAAGCATCACTTCAAATGGTTTTTTTTTTTTTTTAATTTAAAAATTATTTATATTTACTTCATTTTTATCTCCTGCGAATAATATTGTGATAATAATTGGCAATGTGGTATTGGTCCAACAATTTTTAGGATATAATCTAGGATTTTTAGTAAATCCGAGAAAAGATAAATGTTTTTCATCGGCTTGTAATTTTTTTTCATCACCATATTTAAATTTATTTTTTAAATTTCTTAAATTATCTATTTGTTTATTTGTTTCTTTGACTAAACTCTGAAAAGATGGTTTTTCTTGAGTTTTTAATAGTATCAATAAGAAACATACGATTCCACAAATCAATACGATAAAAAACGTTTTGATCCTCATGAAGTCGTTTTAACATTTCCAATTAAATAAATTTTATTTATATATTTGTATAAATTCATCATAAATAATATATAATATATGTACGTAATTTAAAACCGACGGTTTAATAATATTAATCACGTTATGTGTAAAATAATAATTTCCTCATAAAGCAATTAATCGATAAAATAAATACAAATAAAATATTTTTTTTTTAAAAATAAAAATAAATAAACCGAAAATTATTATCGATATATATATATAAAAAAAAAAAAAAAAAAATTATTAAAAATAAATTATTGACATTTTAAATGAAGACCGGCTCCATATTTGAAAAAAAAAAAAAAAAAAAAAAAAAATTGGGGTAAACAACGGTTCAACGTTAGTAATTATAAAAAAAACAATTCTAATGACACGATATAATAATAATGTCTGCTAATAATTCATTTATCGCCCCGTGCTGACATCTGTGAACGATTTTAAAAACTAATTTATGCTAAATAAATAAATACAAAAGAAAAAAAACACAAATTTTTCTTTTATCATTATCATTATTATTATTATTATTATTATATATATATAAAATATATTGTCACAATTTTTCTTTTTTTATCATGTATAAATATATTATATATATATATATATATGTATGTATAAAAAAGATAAAAAAAATTTTTAAAAACAACATCACGTTATTATCATTATTATCATCATTATTATTATCATCATTATTATTATTAAATTTCTAACACGTTAAAATAAGAAAAAAAAAAAAAAAATTTCAAAATTATTTTTATTTATTATTAACTGATATCTTATCAAATACATTTACTTATTTATATATATATATATATATATATCTCAACGTTAACCTTATTTTCGCACTGATACAATCATCATCATCATCAACTTCATTATTATCATTATTATTGATTCATCTCATAGCAATTTATAATAATATATAATAATAATAATAATGATGATGATAAAAAATTACAAATAATTTTTCTATTCGATATCATTTGTACGATTTCATCATGACGTACGACGACCCGATGACGATGACAATAATAATAATAAATAATTAATAATTAATAATAATAATAATAATAATATTGAAACGAAAAAAATTGTAAATACTCTCTTATATTACTATTATATTGGCAGTTTTATTATATAATTAAACCTACGGAAATAATAACGATGATGATGATGATGATGATGATAATGATGATTATGCAAACACGAAAACAAAACCATAAAAAAAAAATTTATTTTATTTTTTTTTTTTCCACTCTTAAAACATAATTTTTATTTATTTATAATAAATTATTTACAAATATTATAAAAATAATAATAATAATAATTTTTTTTTTGCTTTCACTTTTACAAACTTACGGTGATAATGATAATAATAATAATAATAATAGTGATAATAATAAACTCCTCGTTACGACGCTACGATTGGTTATTTAAATAAAATAAAAAAAAAAACGTATAAATTAATTATTATTATTATTATTAGTATAATAAAAAAAAAAACATTCATTAAAATAATTTTCTCTCTCTCTCTCTCTCTCTTATATAAAGTAAACATAATTCAAATACCATTTATTATTATCATTATTACACTTATACGTACATGTGTGTGTGTGCGTGTGCGTATGCACGCGGTAATGCATCATCATTATTATTATTATTATTTAAACGCGTTTTTCATTTTTTTTTTAAAGAAATGTGAAAATTTATCATCGTCATCATCATCATCATCATTATTATTATTATTAAAATAATTTCATTTGATTCGTTACGTGATAACAACAACAACAACAATAACAAAATTATTTTATTTATTTATTTATTTATTATTAAATTGTTTATATCCGACATTTTGACATTTGGTAACAAAATAAATAAATAAATAAATTAACTGTTTATTTATTCTCATCATCATCATCATCATCATCATCATCATCATCATCATCATCATCATCATCATCATCGTCACCGTCATCCGCATCATGGTTATCATCATCATAATTATTATTATTATTATTATTATTATTATTAATTTTTTTTACGTAAAATTGGCAGTTTTATTTAATGAAGAAAAATTGTGACGAATGACAAACGAGAAGAAAAATAAAAAGAAAATAAAACTAATTATTATTATCATTAAATCTAATTAATATTATTATTATTATTATTATTATTAAAGCTATTTTTTTTCTTTTTTTTCTTAATCCGAATCCGCCCTTTTAATAACTTTATGTACATTTAAGTGTGTGTCGAAGTTTGTGTTTGTTTGTTTGTTTGTTTGTTAAATACTGTTTTAAACCCACTATAATAATAATAATGATTATGATTACGATGATAATGATGATGATTATGATTAACAACAACAACAACAACAACAATTAAACAAACTTTACTCAGGTTGAAAATTTTCATTTATTTTCAAAATAATAATAATAATAATAATAATTTTATTGAATAAATTCCGACTTTTAATTACCCATTAAATGATTATCATTATCAAAACAAAAAAAAAGAGCGAGCGAGCGAGAGAGGGAGGAAGAGAGGAGAGAGAGAGAGAGAGAGAGAGAGAGAGAGAGAGAGAGAGAGAGAGAATAAATTACCTGTTATGTATTATTATAAAAACCTGTTATGTATTATATAAACCTAATAAAAACCTGAGATTATTATTATTATTATTATTATTATTATTATTATGGGAAAATGAGTGGAGGCGTTTTTCTCGCCTCTGGTGTCTCGCTCGCATCCCTGAAATTATTCAACGTCATCATCGCGCGCACGCGCACGCGCACGCACACGCACACGCACCCCTCCCCTCCCCCCAGTTTTTCTTATCATCACACTTCTTATCACTCGTTATTATTTAATTTATATTATAATTATGAGGAAAATAAAACGAACGAAACCCAATTAAAAATAGAGAGCTCGAGAGGCAAAGTAAAAGAAGACTAGATGATATATATATATATCTATGCTACTATAACGGCCGATTAAACTAATTTTTTTTTTTTTAATTACATACTATAACTATCTATTCTATTAAATTCATTCATTCATTCATTCATTCATTCACTATTAACTAATTGATTTGATAATAATGATAATGATGATGATATTACAATGAAAAACGATTTTTTTTTTATTAAAGGCAGATAATACACTAATTACTCTTACGTATTGATTTGACAAACATTATTACTATTATTACTATTGTTATTATTATTATTATTATTATTGTTATTGTTATTATTATTATTATTATTATTATGACGTCGACGACAATGATGATGATGATGATGACGACGACGACGAAGAGTTTTAATATAACGTTACTGACTAGACACAATATACGTGTAACATTGATTCGCGTGAATAAAAAAAAAAAAAACAAAATGGCTGCCGATGTTGTTGTTGTTGTTATTGTTTTTACGGCTACAATTTCATTTTCTAATGTTAGTAAAGGCAGTAATGATAGAAATAATAATAATAATAATACAAATAAGTACATTTGAACAATATTATGGCGTGTGTGTGTTTGTGTGTATCAAATGGGAATACAAAACCAACGAGGAATGTTGTTAATTAATAACAAAAAAAACCGGAAATAACAATTAAATAAACAAAAAAAAATTTCGTTCGTCGTTTCCTTTTCTTTTTCCTTTCCTTTCCTTTCCTTTCCTTTTTTTCCTTTTTTTCCTTTGACCGAATCAAAATTTTCCCAAATGATTGATTGATTATTTTAAAGAGTTTAAATAACTTAATACGTAATAATAATAATAATAATGTTGTGCTTATCATAGGTTCGTTGATGCAAAAGTTTATATATATATATATATATATATATATGTACACACGCACGCACGCACTCACACACGCACGCACGCACTCACGCACTCACGCACGAATTCACAAACATTAAAAATTTTTTTAAATGCCGCGGCGGGGGGGAGGGGCAAATGAATGAAAAGGAAAAAAAATCCAGCCCACGGAATTTATCAGCTTTACACACACAATATGAAAACACACGCGATGATAATGATGATGATGATGATGAATAATAAAGAGATCAAATACGATCTCGTACAAACGAACAAACGAACGAAAAGAAAAACAAAAAAAAAAAAAAAAAACAAAACGAAACGAAAAAAAAAAAAAAAAAAAAAAAAAAATATACAAAAACGGCAACAAGTCGATCGATTTAAATTCAAGGCGGTTGAACTTCCAACTTCAGTCTACCTGTTCTCGATGGTACGCAAGATCCGCAAGCTCCTCCGCACATTCCAGTAATCACTTGTGGATTCTAAAATAAATATAAAAAAAAATCGAATTATTTAAAAAAAAATTTCCTCTCGTTCCCGTCGTGCCTTTTTTTTTTCCCCCTTCCCCCTTCCCCCTCCCCAACCTCCCAACCTTTTCAATGACTATTTTAACCGATTGATGAAATCTCGGAACCCATTGTTGATTCGATATGAAAAGATGAGAACCCGTAATGTTGAGTTTAAATTTTCCTTGTATGCATTCCGGATTACTACAACAATCTCCAGCTTCGGCCACTCCAATGGGTCTCCCGCTTATTTGATTTGAAAATGTGAAATCTTGTGCTGGACAAAGGAAAAAAAAAAGAAAAAGAAAAATCATTCGAATCAAAGGAAGGAAGGAAACAAAACGAATATACAAAAATCAAAAATGGCGCGCTCACTATCGATTTCCAACGTATCCACGAGTAATCTGACTTTTCTAAATTCCGTTAATCCGGCTTTTTTCTCCCTATCTTGTAAACATCTGCATTCGTCGTATGAGTTATCATTATTATTATTGGCGTAATGATAAGAATGTTCGCTCAGTCTGATAAAAAAAATAAAAAAAGATTTATTTACTCTATGACTTTTACGGGATAATTATCAATAGTAGTTTTACCTTCTGTTGGAAAATTGAGAATAATTATCCTGAGGACGTTTTAATGATAAATATTCGGTGGGACTGTTCGTGTTCATGTCCTTACAATAAATGGGCATTTTTTTCCCTCCGACGACCATATTGTATTCTCCATCCGTTCTTGCATTCGTTTGTAATTGTATTTCTTTGCAATTTATTTTGTCACCTTTATGAGAAAAAAAAAAAAACAATTTTATTTAAATACTCTATGAAATATTATTATTATTTAGACAACTCACAAGGCCTTCTGTTGCAAGGTTTTGATTTTGGCAAAGGTTTGGGAATATCTTTTTTCTTGCATTCTATTCCTTTGACGATTTCACCATTTCTATTCCGGCAAGTGTATTCCATTCTTTGTATTCCTTTTCTTCCGCACGGTTCCGTACACTGTATTGAAATATTATTATTATTAATTTGTTTTAAATAACCGTTCGTTCGTTAAAAAAAAAGTCATAGAGAATGTAAACCATACCTGTAACCATCTTTCCGGTTGCCAATATAAATCCGCATCGCAATCCCTTATCTTGCACTCTCTTTCCAATTGTGGTTTTTCTATAGAACTGCAAAATTTACTATTTATCGGAACGGGATCCAACCAATCGTAACTGTTTACTTGATGACACGTGACCGTTCGATTTTGTACACCTTTTCCGCACGGTTTCGAACACTTAAATATACATACACATATATATGTACGGTTAATTAGGCAAACATAAGAAGTAATAAAAAGAAACAGAAAATTGTCATTTACTTTGCTCCAATCTCCTTTTATCCACGTTCGCGGACATAATTTTTTCAAACATTTTTTCCTTTCCCTCGGTTTTTCACGTTTCACGCAAAATTCATCGTTTACTCTCCTGTCGTTGTTGTAATGTTGACTATTGACGCCACCGCTCCCGCCCCCGCCGCCATTGGGTTCTATTGAATTATTATCCGTGAGTATGAGAACGCATTTGACGAGTCTCGTTCTCTCACCTCTTCCGCATGTTTTCGAACACTGCAAAAAAAATTATATGAGAAAAAAGAGGTCACGCACGCCGCGTCAAACGTTAGGGATGATGATAATAATAATAATAATAATCTCACCGTCGACCATGGTTCGGTTTTCCATCCGTATTTCGGACATGGCGATTCGTTACAACTTTGTTGATTTCGCGGTTTCGTCACGTAATGACAAGCATCGGGTGATAATTTTTGACCGCGACCATTGTAACAGGAAACTATACGTTCTTGTATTCCTCCGCCGCATGTTTTACTGCACTGAAAGAACAAGAAAAGGGAACAAAATGAAAAACCGTACGAATGACGTCGTACACGCAATGACGTCATAATCATTCAAACGTTTTTTTTTTCAAACACTTACGGGTTTCCATTCGGTCACACGCCATTGAACTCTTAACCTCTTGTGCCTCGTACCGTGTGTGAAATTATTAAAATCCCTTCCGACGTTGTTATTATTATTATTATTATTAATAATATTACTCTGGGGATATTTTACAGGACACGGACGTTCGTCGCATTTGACTATTTTTTCACCGTCCGATGGTTTTTGCCTATCTCTACAGTATACATCGTTGACAACTTTTCCTTCGCTCGTCCTGCAGAAGACAGTTCTCTTTTTGTAACCGACACCGCACGTTGCCGAACACTGTAAATAAATAATTTCAAAAAAAAAAAAAAAAAAAAAAACATTTTAAAATACGTTCGTAATTGTTTTATGTATAATAAGACGTGCAATTGATTGACGATTGTTTCTCTCTCTCTCTCTCTCTCTCTCAGTTTCTCTTTAAGTAAATGCAAAAATAAGCACTGGAAGGAAAAATGATGATGATGATAATGATGATGATGATGATGGAAAGTTTTTCACTAAAGACAGACAAGATTTATATATTTTTTCTCTCACCAAGACACCATCAACGATTTGAAAACTTTCTCTCTCTCTCTCTCTCTCTCTCTCTCTCTCTCATCGCATGCACGTACGAGTTTTGCAAAATGCCACACGCAGACACACACGCACGCACACGCACTTATCATTTAACACGTGTACGCATATTCGTTTTTCTTTTTTTAACGTTTTTATTGTTTATAAGTATAAAAATTAATTTATTAACGTTAAATATATATATAATAATAATAATAATAATAATAATAATCGTTTTTTTACAATTACGTCTATACCTGAACCTTTTTTTCCGGGGGGAGGGGCGTGGGGAGGGGGAAAGACCACATATATATAATTTACGCGGGAAATTCAAAGAATTTCAAAAAAAAAAAAAAAACGAATATTGAAAAAAAAAAAATTTTGATGGCCATAGCAAGTAATGTTGTTAATGCTTAGGTAAGCTCACCCGAAAAAAAAAATTATTATTATTATTATTATTATAAATTTTATGCAGGCGTAGGCAGGCAGGCAGGCAGGCAGGCAGGCAGGTAGGCAGGCATATAATTATGCTTAAAATTGTGGATTTTTTTAAAAACCCAAATGATTATTATTACGTTTGAATGCAAGCAAATTATTATTATTATTATTATTATTTAGTTTGATGATTTCATGCTCGATGATATAGAGAACCATTTTTTTTTTTTTTTTCAAATGTTGTAATATTTTTTATCAAACTTACTGGACTCCAATCAGAAAATGACCACATCGGGCAAAGCATGACACATTTCTTACGGTAAATTGGCATTCTCCCGGCATAGCAATAGCTCTTATCAATAACTTTGTTGTCAAGTTGACACCAGTGACTTCGGGTTTGTATCCCGATTCCGCAAGTCACTGAACACTGAAATTTTTTTTTTATTATTTACACCGTTTATTTATTATATTTTTGTGCATTTGTTTGTTTGTTTGTTTGTTTGTGCTTTGATGATTTGTTTGCTTTAAAATGAGGTTAAACAATAACAACAACAATAACAACAACAACAAAATGTTTTGCTTTGGTGTTTTTTGCTTTTTGATTTTTGGCATAAAGAAAACGTGCATTAAAAAACTTTTAACATTTATATGTAGAATGAGGTGGTGACGTATTATAAAAAAGAAAAACAAACAAAAAAACTTACCGCTGACCATTCGCTATATGTCCAATTTGGACAATTTTGTAATTCGCAACGTTCTTGTATTATTTTATCATCTTGATTGCATTTCTCATCTCCGACGGGACGATTTAATTCATCTGCACAATAAGCATCCCTCGTACGCACACCCGGACCGCAAGTTTTCGAACACTGAAAGTATCGAGCGAGACAAATATATAATAAAAAGTTCAGTTATTACAATTTTCAACCATTTATCTTAATTACCGAATTCCATTCGCCGTATTTCCAATTAAAAACATTACACGGACCCTCGCATCTTTCGACGTCCGGAGGAGGATTGGGTAGATGCATGCAAGAGCTATTACGTATGGGAAAAGGTTCGCGGTACCCGGTAATTTCTTGAACGCATTCTTTCGTCACTCTCCGCACTCCCGGACCGCAATTGCTAGAACATTCGGTTCTTCCAGTGATTCTCCATCTTTAAAACAAAAAACAACGTTCATTATGCGTCCTTAAATAAATAATAATAATAATAATAATAATAAAACGGTGGTTTTACGCACTTGAGCACGCAATTCGTATTACATTCTTCTACAATCGCGGGTGGTTTTCTTATGGCCGAACAATAAACGTCACCGACTATGTCGTTTGTATCGACGGTAACGCAAACCATGATTCGTCTTCTCTCACCGTTGCACACTTGATCGCATGAATCCCATTCGTCATCTAAAAATCTCCACATGTGTCTTTGTTCGTTGCTTTTGGGCACAGTGTATTGATAAGTTATATCTGGAGGTGTTAAACTTCCAGCAGAAAGAACCTTAAAATAAATAAATAAATTATCGCTAATTATTACGTCCTTGAAATGAAAATCTTCAAATAAATGTCTTATTATTATCATCATTATTATTTTCACCTCGACTAAAAGATCTCTTTTCAACGGTCTTGATGCATTTATTCTTTCGACCGGAGTCAAACATCCAGAATATTCTAAAGTAACACCATCGTAAAAAATTAATTTTTGAAATGTTGTGAGAACGTTTTCATTGTTCAATAGTCGACCTCCGGTGACTCCATCTTTTAAAACTGAAAGAAAATTTTTTTTTTTTTTTTTTTTCCGCCATTATGAATAATAATAAACTTTATTCATGGTTGTATTAAAGAGTGATGTAAACGTTTTTTTTTTTTTTTTTTTTTTTTTTTTCTTTACCCAAGTAATTGTCGTCTCGTGCTCCTCGAATTCCGTGTTGTCTTATATCCAAGTTAGATGAACCCGCTGGAATTCTCACGACCGTTCTATAACCTTGTTCTTCGGCGGAAACGTTAAAAAAACCTTGTATGAGACGACAGGTATCGTTGTTTCCACCGCATTTTCCACATTGATCTAAATTTTTTTTTTAAAATAAAAATCAATTTTTTCTTTTATCGGTTCAGGGAATGGATTAATGTTTAACTTACCCAATCGTACGTCACTGGATAATATATGATCGCATCCGGCGGATTTACATTGACCGTTAACGCAAATATCAAATGATTCTGGAGCGCAGGGTGTGCCATCAATAACTTTTTCTTTCAACGGATAATATAAATTTGATTGAAAAACGCGACAGTAAAGTATGCATCGATCATCTCCCGTCACTAAAAATTCAAATTCAAATTGTTACATATCATGGAAAATAAGACATTATAAATTTTTAACGGAAAAAAAAAAAAAAAAAAAGAAAACTTACGCCCGTACTTGGGGATCCATCTCACGGTTGAAGGCACACCGTGAATGTTATGACTATTGTAATCAAAAGCCGAACATTGTGCTTCTCGAAAACCTTTCGATCCCTCGGGACAATCTCTCGTTCCGCAAGATTTATATCTAACTCTTTTACCAGTGCAATATTTTCCACCATTTTGCGGCCTCGGATTATTGCAATCACGATAAGATTTTTTGACTCCACCTCCGCACGTACGTGAACACGACCCAAAACTAATATTATTATTATTATTATCTTTTCAGTTACTTTAACGGATTCGTTCAAATTTTTTTTTTTCTGTTTTAGTTACTAACCCTTGCCAAGGTCCCCATCCTCCGTCGATTTTTTCCAATGCTTTTCTATCCTTTTGAACGCAGTAACCTTTTTGACACCACGCGCCTTCTCCGCACGGTGTCCCGTCACCCCAAGGCATGTGCAACGTTTGACATCCTTCCGAATCGACTTTGTGACACCAAAGTGCGCTGCATACTGGCTGTAACAACCCTATCTCTGAGTTTCTACATTGTTCTTTCCGTAAAAAGGTTATTTCGACCGCGTTAATTAAAACAATAAATTAAAACCTTTTTTTTTTTAAACGAAACGTTAAACGATAGAGATAACAATATTTCATATCCCGATGGGAAAACTCCGCTTGAAACAAAAGTTTTCGATGTTGATAATAATAATAATAATAATAATAATAATAAAACTCGATTGTAACTCACCATGTAAGAACATATACGTGACCCTTCTCCGTAAAGTAATTCACACTGACGATTACCTTCGATTGTTTCGCCAGGTAACACGTCAGAAAATCCATTTTCCGTAATGTAATCCTTAATAGGAGGATCCCTAAGGCAATGACTGTGTCTGGAACTGCGAACGCGCGTGCACGCATATATATATATATATATTTATACGTATAATTAAATAATGTCGTATATTCCTTAAACGCTAGACACAAAAGAATAAATAATAATAATAATAATGATCGGTTTTTATTACTTACTCCAGGAACTCTGTTAAAAAATGACGACTGCATTCAGACCATGACCACGGATCAGTGCCTTCTTTCAATGACGTTGACATTACGTGACTAACTGAATCTCCACTCGTATGAGGTCTGCATTTCATTTCCGCATCATCGTGAGGCATGTTTAAACTGTGGAATCATCATCATCATCATCATCAAAATGATATTATTCAATTTTTAATAAATAATCGAAAGAGAGTTATAATAAATCTTACACGTGTCCCAATTCGTGTGCGATGGTGAAGGCAGCACTAAGGCCATTATCTTGTACCAAAGAACAACTGCTTTTTCTATCACACATCGTACCTAGTTCGGCAAGTCCGAGAGTTTCGCACTTTTGAGCTGAGGCATTTCTACATATATTTTCCCTAAAGGAAAATAAAGTTAGGATTACAACACGCGCATGCGCACACACACACATTACAAATACCTCAAGTAAATTAATTACCTTGTCAAAAGGAGAGCAGTATCGTGATCTTCCGATTTGAAACTCGCCTGATACCTACAAAATTCTCTTAGCATTTCAGCCGCGCTTACGCCATCGTGAGGTGGATATCTATGAAGTGCAAAATTTTTATGATGAAGAATTTCCAATTTGACCAATGCTATAGTGATTGGATTTCCAATTGAAGCATCTTTAAAAATACCTGAAACCTAATTTATAAATTTTATTTAATTAAACGGAGTCGCAAAATTTCATCACATATCAGACCAAAACGAAAACGAAAACAAAAACGTGAGACACGTTAAGTAATATAATCCAGTCAAAAACGGTCAAATAAATAAAATGGCGCGTCTGGAGTAAGTACACTTACAATGTACATGAGTGCCAAAATATAATTTTCAACGTCGCCACCGTGATAATTTGCCATCGAACTATCTGCTACCACTAACATTTCGACAAAATATTCTTCCGACACGCTTCTTCTTGATCTTTTCTTCGAATACAACCTTTCGTTTGAACGATTATGATCGAATGAATCCTCACGCGTTCCGCTGTGTATTTGATGTAAATAATCCGAGTCGTAATCGAACAACATGTCCGGATGATCGGGTGCCATAGAACGATGATTTTCTCCAGAAAATGATGATTTCTTATGTTGTTTCGATGGATCGTGATCATCTTTAACAGACACAAACAAAAAACAATCAAATCAGTAATAATAATAATAATAAAAGTATAACGGTCACGTGGAACGTGTTTGTGTGTGTGTGTGTGTGTTGTCCGTGAAAACTATTAAAAAATCTTTCGCGGTTACTGACTTGTTGTTTGTTATAATGAAGGGTGACGACTTGATTGGTTACCTTGAAAATATTAAAGTGGGAAGTGTAATTGTTTGTTGGGTTGATTCAATCTTTCAAACAGTATGTGGGAGTGAGTATCGGGGGGGGGGGGCAACCGGGGGGGCAACGGGGGGAAAGCTCTACTTCTTCTGGATACGTTGACTCGAACGGAGTAAAGCAGTTTTTTTCTTTTTTAATGATATTATCAACACCCACGAACTTCGTCGCAATTAATTCCGACATTTTTACACTACTAGACATCACATTACTACTACCATCGCGCATACTAATTATTATTATTATTATTAATATTAATTTAATAATGGATGCCCGCGAAGAACGGGGAGGAGAGGGGAGGGGGAGAGGAAGAGGAGGGGGAGAGGAAGAGGAGGGGGAGAGGAAGAGGAGGGGAGAAACGCCAAAGTGGTTGGATTTTATTTTTTTTGCACAAATTATATTTATGTGTCACGTCACTCAAATAATAATAATATTTGATTTGCATATAAAGAAAAAAAAAAAAAATTTCTTCTTCTTCTTATGCGAATGAATAATTTTGCGGCGCGTAAATTTTATTATCATTATTATTATTATTATTATTATTATTATTATTATTATTATTATTATTATTATTATTATTATTAATATTAATATTTTAACGTTTAATGACCCGACTTTTACATTGAAAAGTTATAATTACATGGGTTTGTGTTAATGACATGTGTTTTAACCGAATGAATTAAGAATTTTGAAAAGTGACACACGCACGCACGCACGCACGCACACACACACACAAGATCCATTGTAAAAATCCCACGCGATTATTAAGCAAAAAAAAAAAAAAAAAAAAAAACTTTTTTTTTTTTAATGGACTTAAGAGCCACAAATATTAATAATAATAATAATAATAATAATGTTTTTTCTCTCTCTCTCTAACCGTTGTAACAAAGCCAATGTATATATATATATATATATACATATATATATATATATATATATATATGAGAAAACAAATTATAAATTATTAAAAACAAAATCTAATGTTTTTTTTGTTTAAACAAAATATAATTCGAGTGAAAACAATTTAAATAATAATAATAATAATTATAAATAGATTTTAAATTGAAAAAAAAAACTTAACTTTTCCTTCTAGAAACTTCTTACATGGCGGTTACGAAATGGATTTTCATTTTTCTTTTTTTTTCTTTTAAAATAATTATAAAACGAATCAAATTCGCGAAAATATTCATCACAAAACTCTATTTAATAAAATTAAACCAAAAAAAAAAGTGCACGACAAACGTATTAATAAACAAACGACGAAAAATAATGAAATAACAATTATAAATTACTTCCTAAACGTTTCCGCCATTTTGAATTAACGTCAAAAAAAAAAAAAGTAAAATGAGATAAAATTTCAGGGCCCGACGAATATATGTTAATTATTATTATTATTATTATTATTTTATAACGAGGAAATTTTTTTTTTTTTTTATCACCGCCTTTTTTGAAAACAATAAAAAAAAAAAAAAAAAAATTACACGTAAAACTCATTTTTTTTTTTTTTTGTAATCTGGCAACGTTCCAACTCAACTTTTTTTTTTATTTGACCCTATATCAAATTTAAAAAATATACGTGCGACACGTCATTATAATTTACCAAAAAATTTTTTTTACCGAAAAACACCGAACGAAAAAAAAAATGTCAAGTTTAAGCAAAAAAAAAAATTTTATCCGAATTCTTTATTTTACCATTAATTTTATTATCATTATCATTATTATTATTATTACTATTATTATTATTATCGTTATTAAAACTTATCGCGATGAAAATAATAATAATAATAATAATGATAATAATAATCGGACAGTATGTGTAAAAAAAAAAAATTTTTTTTTTTTTTTTTTTAATGACATTTTTAATGCGGTTACCTCCCCCCCCACCATTGTAATAAATCAAATTGAAAATAACAATTGAATGCAAGTTAACAACAAGTTGGTAGTTTTGTTTCTTTTTTTTCTTTTTTTTTTTTTTTTTAATGATCCCGTTAAATGTTAGCGGTCTCTCGCACACACACGAAAAAACAAGAATGAATGATTGAATGATTGACTGAGTGAATGACTGATTGATTGATTGATTGACCGAATGCCATCTTTTTATATATATATTTTTTTTTTTTTTTAAAATTTTTAATGTACGAATTTCGATGAGTGAAAAAATAGTTAGAAATTCGGCCGATAGATGGATGAACGATATCAAATTTTTTTGCCGACCCGTCGTTTTACAAAAATTACACAAAACTGACACGTTTAAAAAATAATAATAATAATAATAATAATAATAATAATGATGATGATGATGATGATGATGATGATAATGATAATAATAATAATAATAATGAAAATAATAATAATAATAATATTAATTGCATAAGTTAAGACGCGGGCGTCAACTAAGATGATGATGATGATGATGATGAAACGAAAAACTTACACTCGCACACACACGCTGGGAAAAAACAGGAAAATTAAAATAATAATAATAATAATAATAATATTAATGATAATCTTAACGTCAGTGGTCTAAACGATTCGATTTCGATTATTTTCATTTTCACGATGTATCGAAAAACCGGAAATGGCTAATGTTTATTTTAAAATTGGCAAATTAATTTTTTTTTCGCTTTGTTTTTGAGGAATATTATTAAAAAGAGAGAGAGAGAGAGAGAGAGAGAGAGAGAGAGACTGAAAGTGAGAAAGAGAGAGAGAGAAAAGAATTCAATTTAATTATAAAAATATACATGAATGAAATAATAGAAAAATAAATAAGTTATTATTATTTTTGAGAGAAATGAATTTTTTTTTTTTTTAAAAAAAAACTTTTTTTCAATAATTTTTTTAAAAACATTTACTAAAATTACATAATAACCTTTCAGAATAAGAAAAAAAACAAAAACAACAACAAGAACAAGAACCGTGACGAATATTATTATTATTATTCGTTTAGAAAAAAAAAAAATCATCATCATCATCATCATCATTCGTGACTTAAATAAAAACGAAGAAGCATTTTAAAAAAAAAAAATGTTTTTTTTTTGTGTTTCGTTGTTGAGAGTTTTGTAATAAGAGCTTAAGGAACTTAAAACTAAAGCTTATTTTATAAATAAGGAAGTTAAATCGATTCGGGTTAATAGTTCTATTTTTGTTTCATTATTATTATTATTATTAAAGCTTTTTTCGTTCGTTTGTCATCGATATATGAATTACATGGGAATGTCGTCGTCGCGGTGGTGGTGGTGGAGGTGGTAGTAGTAGTAGAGATGGTGGTGGTGGTGGTGATGGTAGTAGTAGTAGAGATGGTGGTGGTGGAGGTGGTAGTAGTAGTAGAGATGATGGTGGTGGTGATGATGGTAGTAGTAGTAGAGGTGTTGTTGATGGTGGTGGTAGTAATAGAGGTGATGATTGTGGTAGTAGTAGTAGAGATGATGGTGGTGGTGGTGGTAGTAGTAGAGGCGGTGGTGGTAGCAGTAGAGGTAGTAATGGTGGTAGTAGTAGGGGTTGTGGTGGTGGTGGTAGTTATGGAAAGCATAAGACCAGCTTTTCTTTTTTTTTTTTTTTTTCTAACATTCATCAACGGCAAAAATAAAACTTTGTTAACCCAAAATTTTAGCAAAAAAAAAATTTGCGGTTATACAGACGATTCGATGAAGGATTTTATGCGGTTAAAGGTAAATAATTAGGATTTTTGCTCACGTTAATACACTCGTTTAGTACCGAATCGTGTATTTGCGGTCGTTAAAAAAAATTACCACCGTCGTTATTATCATTTTCTTTTTAAATGTCATCGAAACGTATTTTAATATAAAAATCATTTGACGAAAATATCATAGAGTAAATAAAAACGTTTATTCGTATTTATATTCGCGAGTGCGAAAAAAATTTCAATTTTTAATGTTTCGACAAAAACTTTTGTCGTCGTTTGACGACTTGTTTCCGGAAATGTCGAAGAAATTATTACATTTCCTCGTTCATTTCACTCGTCGTTAAAAAAAAAAAAAATCGATAACGAAAAAATTTATCGATCGATCGATTCTCGAAAATAATAATAATAATAATAATTTGTAATTTTTTGTCGCAATTATGCAAAAATATTTAAAAAAAAAAAAAAATGGCATTACATTTAATAATTCTCTTTCTCTCTCTCTGCCTGTCCCTCTCTTTTTCTCTCTCTCTCTCTCTCTCTCGCAATACAATAATAAAAAAAAAAAAAAACGTGTAATCAACTTTGACATTTCCCGGCTGCTTCCACTTTTTTTTTTTTTTTCAAATGAATTTCGACACGTGTTTTGAAATTTTTTTAACCTCATTAATCCGTTCAACTTCCCACCGGTGGGTTCCTCCTTTCTTTCTTTATTTTTCCGCCAGGTGTTTCCCTCGATTGTTTTAAAAAAAAAAAAACATCCGTAACATTTTATTATTATCATTATTATTATTTTTATTATTATTATTAGTTAAAAAAATAAATAAATAAATCTTAATTTAATGAAAATTCTAACTGAATAAAGTTTCTCTCACGCACACAAACATGTCGTGGAACTAATTTTCTCTACTATCAAACGTGAATGGGGGGGGGGGGCTTTAATACTTTACACGTGTAAATAGTAAATTTAAGTTCGTTCTCCGTCCCTGAACTTGAAGACCTTTTTTTCAGGTCTTACATAAACTTTTGAGAATAATAATAATAATAATAATACCGGGAAAAATTATCATCATCATTATC